AAAAATTTTAATATGCTTTACCACCTTCATTAGTCACTCTAAAGCCATAGCCACCATGAATGCTTTTAAAATTATCTACCTTTATACCAACATGTCTATTTAAATCTCTTTCAATAAACTTTTTTTTTCGAGAGGTATTTTTGTATTAATTTTTTTTATATCATTTCAAAATTTTAATTTTGAACACATATCCAAATCTACTTGAGGAGCATAAGCGCTTATAATATTAATAATCTTAGTATAAACAACAATCTTTAAAGTTATAATTTTATCTCTATTTTTATTAATATTTATAATATTATCCTTCAAACTCTTATCTACAACCACACATATATCATTTCTAGTACGACTCCTATCAGAATATCATAGTTTAAATCCTAAACAATTAATCTCCTTAGCGTTTTTTGCAACCCATTCAGTTTCCTAAATGCATAAAATATTTTTCTTCCTATAGATCATAATATATATTAATTCCATTAATTTGCTTGTAAGAGAACCTATATTCCAAATTTCTATCCTAGTTTTAGTTTCATGGACTAGCTTCTTTACTCACATCCGTCCATATGTAACAATTACATAGAATGTGAAACAAAAATTTTTTAGATACATATAATAATTTTACAATCAAAAGACTATAATAATTTTACAATCAGAGAGTTTAGTACTAGATCATCTGCAACCAATGAAAACTAATTATGGTGAGTTTTCCTTCATGTCCTGCTTCAGCCACAGATCTTAATTTAATGAAAAGTTTACTATTTATTCTGGATGCGTTTAGTATAACTATTACAATGCATTTCATCTTTGGGAGCATTATACATTCTTCAAATTGATCAGCGTATCCTACCTAATTCTCATTATGACGGGCTCAAAATTTTGACAAGTGATTTTTCTATTAGATTTAAATGACATGAAATCACATGATTTCAATTTGCAAAAAAATCAAAAATAATGAACTTGTTTGCTGTATCAAGATATTAGATGTAACAATTACATAGAATGTGAAACAAAAAATTTTCCTAACACAAATTACAATCAAAATATAAATTTGTGAAATCTATGACAAAGTATATCCTAACACAGATTTTTTTCCTATTAATGTGCTCATTGCTAATTTCTTTGGTTCCATATAAAAACGTTTGCTATTACTTTAGACTGAGTTGGTTTAAAATTTCAGAACATGCTATTCAGTCGAAAAAAGTAGAACATTCAGCTAAACATGGTTCTGTTAATATGCAAGAGAGACAGACCGGCTTGAAGTTGAAAGCAAAAGTGAGATACTTGCGTAGTACAATGGCAATCCGTGCAGAAACTCCTTATTTCACGAAGTTTTTATTGCCTTCCCATTTCAGTGGAACCAATTCTTTTATGGTAAGATGAAATAGATGTTCCTGATCTTAGCAGATTGGCAGAATTTTTACAAATTTCGAGCCCTTTTTTTAGCCAAGTGTTTCAAATATAGTCATTCTCGCACGTCTTAATTTGGCCCATTGCATGCAATTCATGAATAATTTATATTGTATGCTACAGTAGTGTATTTCTGCTTGAAAGTTTTGAATATCTCTGGCAGAAATATTGCTAAGTTTATTTTTTTTGTCTTTTTCCAACACATTATATCAGTACCTAGGTTAGCAGTTGGAAAATGTTTTAAATATTATCATAGAAATAACAGCATGGGAAAAGAATTTGCACAAAATATTGCGGCTAAGGGCATCTCCAATCGAAAATCCCACTTTTCACTCCAAAATGCAGTGAAACTCAAAAATGTCGTGATTCATCTCCAATCGAACTCCATTTTGCACGCTTCTGCAAAGGTAACCATCTTCTCCTCTTCGCGCATTTCTTCGGCAAATCCGGTTGAGACAGAAAATTCGCGTAGGTGAACAGTGCAATGTCAATATTGGCGTTACCCTATTCACCCTCCATCGATTAGCGATTTCTTTGCCGTTCGAATGGAGCAAACCAGTTACGCTTTACAGTCGTTTGGAGTTCGGCTAGAGACTCCCTAAGTCGAGCTTTGAGATCATCTCTAGAAGGTTTAGATTTCTATGCAAAATATGCATTGATTTATGAAAACGAAGAGAAAAATATTAAAATTAAGCAGCTGGAATAATTCTATGTAGAGTTTCATCAGCATCGCTCCTAAGATTTTTGAAATCACTGGGACGGTGCATTCCACCGGCAACACACCTGGTGTTCTTCAAATCACTTCAAATAAGAATTAAAACTCACATGGTTTCATCCAGAAATCATTCCTACTCAAGACCAAGATATCTCCCTTACTATGCCCTTGAATGGCCATTTTTGTAGCCCCTAACATAGGACAGCTCAATACTCGTTTCACCAAAGCTTTTTTATGTTCATATATTGGGCTAATTGCAAATTTGAATATAATTTAAGAAGCTTGGTATCTAATTGAATATGATTGAACATTATCCTTTTTTTTTTTGTTTATGTTCATTAGAAGGTTGCTAAGAGTTTGATAAAGCTATTAGTATACCAAACATGAAGAACATACTGATTGCTATGTGTTAATTTTTTTTTTTCAATGAAATGTGTTAATTTCTCATGTATATTTTCATTTAGGTTAGATGACGAGGCTTTGGCTTTGAATACGTGGCACTCATATTATATTTGGCTTGATTAAAGCTCAATAAAAACATTAAATAAATAAGAAAAGGTCGGAGTAGCTCTAGTGAAAGATAAAGATTAGAGAGAGTCGCTCAGATGGTTTGTTCACATTAAACGGCGGCCTTCCGATGACCCAGTTAGAAGAGTAGATATATTAGATTTAACTTATTTAAGAAAGGTAGAGGTAAACCTAAGAAGATTTGGTTAGAAAATATTAGAATTGACCTTTCTTTATAAGATTTAAATGAGAATTTGATTCTTAACATGACACAATAGAGAAAAATGATTCATGTAGCTGACCCCTCACGTAGTAGGATAAAAGCTTATTGTTGTTCTTATAGGCTGCTTCACCTAACTTATGTATTGCATGTCTTGTGTATTGTTGTATGTTGTGGATGCCACTGCATGTAGTTTTCTCCTTCACCATAGAATGGAGTAGTTTTCCGAACTCTGAAGCTACAGATGTTACACCATTCTTGAAGACCTCTTAACTGCTAAAAAATTAAACAGTTTGTCCTCAAGTTTATTATGTGTTCTGCATTACTCTTGAGGGTTAGAGCAACTAAACCTCAGTGTTCTAGACTTTCACTGGATCACATCACATTACAAACGCAATCGTGACAGGAAAGAAAATGATTTATATTTTGCATATCCATCAATTCCCTCAATTAGTATAGATTACTCGCCTTAAACTCTTAATGCATATTACTGTTTAAAGGTGGGGGATTTACATACATACCACTTTTTTTTATACTATTTACATATCTAATCCCCAAAATATTAATATTATATACCCATAAAACAAATTTGGGTGCATGGAATGAAATATTAAAATTTATAGGATGGTATGAATGATATAAATGAATTATAGGAGTGATACATTTGATATTAAAATTGTATATGGGTGATATGCATGTAATATTAATATTTTGGGTGTTAGATATGTAAATAGCATGAAATAAAGTGGTATGTATGTAAATTTCCCAAAAGTGTGCCATCTGTAACTCTAACTAATGCATTTTCATGTTCTTCTGCAAGTCATACTAATAAAACATCTCAATCAGTACAAGGCATTGGAATTGCAAATTAGCGACAAAATGCTTGAATGCTCATTCATCTTTGTTTTATAATGTGCAGACATTTCCTTGTGACTTTGCAGTAAAACATCTCCATCTTACACCACAAAAAATATTTCTCCGGTATCATAATAAGATGTGGTCAGCAATGTATAAGTTTAAATCAGTTTCCAACGGACACTCGGTGACAGGACTTTATGGAGAGGGATGGCGTAAGTTTGTGCAAGATAATGAGTTGTGTAGAGGGGATGGATGCATATTTGTGCTCTCAGAAGCTTCTAAAAGGGTAAAGGTCTTTGATGTTCATATAGTGCGTGTTGATGACTAACTTACATGGCCTAATTTACTTGACCAAATAGCTGATCTCATATGCTTTCAGTTCAGTAGAAACTTTGATCTGTTTGCATTTTCCTGAATATCATATTGTTTTGGACTTCATATTGCAGTATGTAAGTCATGAACTGTGCTTTAGGTTTGTTTAGCATATCCTTTTTGAGCTTGGTGATGTGCAAATAAGCAAAGTGCATGATCATGCTAAAATGGTGTGATTTTTTCACCTTGATGTAAGAAAACTGCAATATCTTTTCTGTGATATAAATGATTTTAGTGTACCTTTCATTTCTAAGAACAACAATTTAGCAGCGATTTTCATTATTTGATTGGAAGAAGGAAATATGAACCAACAGAATTTTCTCATGACAGCATTCTCTGATCTTTTTGAACTTCCCAATCAGAACTTTTTGACTGCAATCTGCAAAATTATTTGAAATTGATTTGCTTAGTTAGGCCTTGAGTTCATGATTTTATGATGGGAGTTGATGCTCAAGTGAGCTGCATATTTAATTGATTCAGCCTCTCATTTTTTATTGACTAAGCCAAAAGAATGTCATGCTCATGACTTTTCATGGAGAAACCCTAAACAAACATAACTGTACAACATAATATTTAGATAGTATTGACTAAGTGTTCTTATCTTGTGCCATAATCATATTGTCATTACTGCAATACAAATTAGAGCTAATCCTTTCGAGAACTTGCTGGTTGCATGTCAATTCCCTAGCAAGATATTCAATTCAAGACTCAATTCTATTAACACTGTACAATGGAAAAGTTTTGGGTACTAAAGTTTGGCCTAAATAGCTCTTATTATGATTAATCAATTACAATTTATAATATAACGATCCTAACATAAATTTAAAAATATTGATTGTGACTCAATTTTATCTCCCAAAAGAGTGGAAAAGAAGATAGATGCTCCATGTGACTGCAAAATTTGAGAAGAAAGTCATAAAAATAATCAGGAAAATGCAACAGATTCATGAGCTAGGAGATGAACAACATTGGAGCAATCCTAACTCCTAACACAGATTTTTTTTTTTTTGCATAATACTAAGTTAAGTGTTGCAAAGATGAGGATGCTTAGGTGGATGAGTGACTTTACCCTTAGAGATAGGAGATGAAATGAACATTTACGTGAAAAGTTTGGAGTAGCTCCAATGGAAGATAAGATTAGAGAAAGTAGCCTTAATGGTTTGGTCACATTAAACGGAGGCCTTCCAATGACCCGGTTACGGTTATGAAAGTTGAGATATTAGATTTGACTTATGTTAAAAAAGGTAAAGGCAAACCTAGAAAGAATTGGTTAGAAAATATTAGAAATGATCTTTCTTTATTAGATTTAAATGAGAATTTGACTTTTACTAGCACACAATGGCGAAAAAGTATTCATGTAACCGGCCCCACATAATGGGACAAAGGCTTGATGATGTTGTTGTTGTTCATTATAGAACATGCAGGAAAGCTGATATTAATCAACATAATTAATTCCTTTCATTCTAAACCCAATCTCTCATATACATAGAGAGGCTAGATGGTATAATGTCTAAAATACCCTTACTAACGCATTATAAAACAAACAATCATAATAAATAACATGCCAACATGAAAAAAAAAAAAAAAAACCAGAAGAAATATCAAATTAGAGTTCTGTAGACCTACAATCATTCTTTCATCAAACAGGCCATTAATGCCATTTCCCATGGTAGAGCTTCTAATTCTTGGAATCACTCTTATAATCCTCCTGCCAAGTAGCTTGCCATTGCTTGTCATAAAAGGTTGTCTCCTCAATGAGCTTCTTCAACTTCTCAATATCTTCATTCTTTCTTATAAGCATTACTCCACCGACAGAAATTAATAGAAGGATTTTGCAGAAGAAGTTGCCCATCTGATCAACAAGGCCGACGCCGGTAAGGCTATCCACAAAGTAGGCCATGAAGAATCCAATCATAGCAGCACGGCCTGTGTAGACTTTGATTATAAATAGTGTTTGATTTTGGTGAATGTGAGAGAGAAATTTGAAAACTGACCATTTAGTAGTTCGGCTTCGGGAAGGTGATATCTTTTGACCCATGCCCACCAGGGCACGATGGAAGTATCAAAAACTACAGGGTCGTCGGTGCTCGAAGCCTCGGGATTGTCTTCAAGCCATTTCCTTCTCCTAGCCTCTGAGGAAAGATAAATGATGGTGATGGAGAAGTTAGATGACCATTAAATTTATACCTGACTGCCTGTGATATTGATAGGAAACGTTTGTAGGAATAAGAGTTTTCCTTACTGAATTTGAATTTCAGCACTTACAAAAAACAGATTGGAGAAGAATTTGTCTTTTTAATTGATAAAAGATGAAAGAAAATGAACAAGATACAATGGATCCTCAAAATTGGAGAGGATGATCCGTCTCTCCCAATCTCTAGCCAGCCCAAGGAGAGCCTAAACAAACCCTGGGAACTCTCCAAAATTCAGCAAATATCAAGATAATCCTAACTCTAGACAATCTCATCTATTTAAAGCATACAAATACAACTCTGATTTACTAAACAGCTCCTCCCTAAATCAAAACCTGTCGCCCCCTCCTCTTCAAGTGGCCCTCCTTGGGCCGGTCTTGCCGGTCTATCAGATATATGTGCAAATATGTTTCTTGAAAAGCATTTTACAACTGCCAAGTTGTATCTTTTTGACTGATATGAATAAAATGTTTTACTTTTAGCATTAGATTGCCATTACACAAATCAAAACATACAAATCAATAATATAATTTTGTCTATTTATGTAGTACATCATTAGCCCAGATTTTGTAATCTGTTTCCACTTCTTGATGCTATATTTTCTACCAATGAAGCCATATTTAGGAACTCATATAAATGATGGGTAATGCTGTTTTGGCTGCATTCGACCAAGCTGAATACGTCACAAGTGGGGATCACTAGCATCTTCATAAAAATACCATGGTGATCTATTCGACCGTTAAATTTTGATTAAAAAGATAAAATATCTTCTTATTTGTTCCTCTTAATTCAATTGTTGTATGTGCGCTTCGAAAATTCACGCCCCGGACTCTCTGTTGCCCCTTTCTTTCTTCTGGATCATCGTGGAGAGTTTCAATGTTTAGGTTCTGAGGCTAATTTTCAGAAGGTAGACGGTGTTTTGAATAAGATATTACTCAGAGATTTCGCCCTCATTTTACGAGGACTTTATGATTTGAGTTCAGGTTTCCTATAGGCGCAAGTCCTTATAGTTAATTATACATCTCATAGCAAGAGAACTTATTTAAGAAGAATTGCCTTCTAAAAGGTCATACAATCAGTTAGTTAGAACAAATTGTTTGACTACCCTTATGGTTCACTCTTGCATTACTTGTTACGTAACGTTGATTTTAGCTCTTGCTTATAAATAGGGGTCTTGTGTCAAGTGCGGGCACAAGAAATCTAGCTCCAAAATCTTGGAGCTAGATTATATCTTTCTCTCTCCTTCTGAACTTGTATTCTCTACTTTATTTCTCTACCTCATTCCTGAACTCTTATACTCTACTTTAGTTCTTCCTTCCAAGCGACAAGTCGAACAGGTTTCTTCACAACAGTTCACTCGAGGGAATGCAAAAAATTTCTATCATATTGGCCTACTTGTTTTTTTTTTTTTTAAAAAGAAAGGATCCAGCAAATAGTTTATTTTAAGTCAGACCGTGCTTAAGCTTTAATTAGTGTCTAAAAGGCAACCCAAACCTTGCTTGAACGTGGTGTGCTTAGCCAGCTGTTGATTATAATGATAATGGTGATTAAGAATAAGATAATAAGCTTGGAACTTGCACTGAAATCAATCTTTTTGGGAGTTCGCTCTTATCTTCTTGTTTGTTTATGCATGTAATTATATATTTATACTTGAATGCTTTTCCTAATTTATTTTCTTTTACACAAACAATAATTTCAATACTATTGTGGTAGACTTTTCCAGTGAATCTGATGATGGATTTTAAAAAATTGGCTGAAGTGATCACTTTAGAGGGTCCAAGTGGCAACTGTTGGCTGGTCAGATTATCGCAGCTAGCAGGCCATGTATATCTTAAAGAGGGCTGGAAGGAATTTGTTGAAGCACATCATGTTGAAGAAGGTGACTGCTTGGTTTTTGAATATTGTGGGAGTTCACGTTTTAGTGTTCTAATATTTGACAGAAGCGGTTGTGAGAGAGAAGCTGCGTACTTCGTTAGAATCATGAATCCTATCCCTACAAAAGAATGTCAGGCAGAGGAAAAACACGAAAGGCAACTCCCTGATGTTTTAAAATTTTCTTCTCCACGATTTCCTAGTGATGATAATTCATCCCTGCAAGTGGTTTCAGATGATGAAAAAAGCTCTTCATTCAAAGGAAAATTTGGTCGCAGAAGGTTTAGTACTAGATCATGTGCACCCAATGACAAAACTAATTGTGGTGAGCTATCCTTCATGTCCTGCTTTAGATACACTTCTTAATTTAATGTAAAGTTTACTGTTTATTATGGATGTGTTCAGAATAACTATTACAAAGCATTTCATCTTTGAAAGCATTATATAATCTTCAAATTGGATTAGGATGCCCTACCTAATTTCATTAGGATGCGCTCACAAATTTGACATGTGATTTTTCTATTATATTTAAATGACATGAAATCACATGATTTCAATTTGCAGGAAATTTAAAAATAATGAAGGTATTTGTTATATCAAGACATTAGACGTAATCATGTAACAATTACATAGAATACAATAACAACAATAACAAGCATTTATCCCACTAGGTGGGGTCGGCTACATGAATCTTTTTTCTCCATTGTGTCCGGTTAAGAGTTAAATTCTAATCTAAATCTATTAAAGAAATGTCAATTCTAATATTTTTTAATCAAGTCTTTTTAGGTCTACCTCCATCTTTCTTAACATAACTCAAATCTAATGTATCTACTTTCCTAACCGGGTCATCGGAAGGCCACCATTTTATGTGACCAAACCATCTAAGGCGACTCTCTCTAATCTTATCTTCCACTAGAGCTACTCCAACCTTTTCACATATATGCTCATTTCGTATCCTGTCTCTAAGAGTAAAGTCACTCATCCACCTAAGCATCGTCATCTCTGTAACACTTAACTTAATATTATGCTTCTCTTTTAATGGCCAACATTCTGCATCATAAAGCATTGTAGGTCTTACTACCATCTCATAGAATTTTCCCTTAAGTTTGAGAGGGATGTTTCTATCACACAACAGGCCCGATGCATTTCTCCACTTCAACGATCCAACTCTACCAATAATATCCCCATCTATTGCACCATCACTCTGAACAATAGACCCAAGTTATTTAAAACGTGTACTCTTATTAATAACTTGATTGCCCAAAGTCACAATCCCCCCACTAGATCTAATATTACTAAAATTACACTCCATATATTCAGTTTTAGATATACTCACACGAAAGCCTTTAGACTCTAAGGTTGACCTCTATAAATCAAGTTTTCATTCAACTCCCTCTCTAGTCTTATCAACAAGAAAAATATCATCAGCAAAAGCGTACACCAGGATATAACCTCTTGCAAATGTCTAGTGAGAACATCCATGACTAAAGCAAAAAGATATGGGGTTAAGGTTGATCCTTGATGTAATCCAACTGAAATAAGAAAATACTTGGTGAAACCACCTTGTGTTTGAACACAGGCAACAATTCCTGCATACACATTCTTAATAACTTGAATACAAGCATTATCAACCATTTTCTTATGTAGAACTCTCTATAGCACTTCACTTGGAACTTTATCATATGCTCTCTCTAAATCAATAAAAATCATATGTAGATCCTCTCTATTCTCTCCATACTTCTCCATCAAACCTCTTAGTAAATGTATAGCTTCCATAGTAGACCTACCGGACATGAATCCAAATTGATTTTGATAAACATTAGTTTCACGTCACAACCCATGCTCCATAACTCTTTCCCATAGTTTTAAAGTATAACACATTAACTTAATTCCTTTATAATTCACACAATCTTGTGCATCACCTTTATTATTAAAAGTATGAATCAACACGCTCATTCTCCACTCATTTAGCATCTTTAAGTCTTCAAATTAATATTAAAAAGTTTAGTAAGCCAAGAAATTCCTTCATCTCCTAAGCATTTCTACACCTCTATTGGAATATCATAAGGTCATACAGCTTGTCCACACTTCTTTTTTATTTAAAGCCTCTTTAACTTCGATTTTACTAATACGCCAATTAAAATAAAAATCTTTATTTCATTTAGGGTGCTAAGGTCATTAAAGTCAATTGCATTCTTATAATCTTCATTAAAAAGTTTAACTAAATATCTCATCCGCCTTTGTTGAATTTCCTCTTCTAATAAAAACACTTTTTGATCTTCATCCTTAATACACTTCAGTTAACTAAATCTTTACTACTATCTCTTTATTTAGCTAATTATATATATATATTATCCTCCTTAGTATCTAATATATTATATAAATTATTAAAAGCTAAAATATTTGCATTGCAAATTGCTTTCTTAGACTCTTTATGTGCCTATTTGTATATTTTTCAATTATCATAATTTTTACAGCTAAACTAATTTTTATAACAAATTTTCTTATTTTTTATTTTTTGTTGCATATTTTGATTGCACCACAAACTATTTTTATTATTAGTAGCTTTTTTTCTTTGATACTCCAAGCATATTTTTTGCAACATTATTAATATCACTAGCTACTTTTTTGTCACATAACATTAGCTTCGTCATTCATAGGGAAATCTCAAGATCTATAATTTTATTCTCAAAAATATTTTTGTTAATATTCTTTAAATGCTCCCATCTAATCCTTGAACAATGATTTATTTTATTTTTTATTTTCTTCCCCTTAATCTTAAAGTTTAAAACTAATAAGTGATGTTGAGTACATAAACTTTTACTCGGAATAATTTTACAATCTTTGCAATCTAAACGATATATTTTTCTTAAAAGAAAATAATCAATCTGAGTTTTACTATATCCATTCTAATAAGTGATAAGATGCTCATCTATTTTCGTAAATAAAGTATTAGCAATTACAAATCATAAATTAAGAAAAATTTTAATATGGCTTTACCACCTTCATTAGTCACTCTAAAGCCATAGCCACCATGAATGCTTTTAAAATTATCTAGCTTTATACCAACATGTCTATTTAAATCTTCTTCAATAAAAACTCTTTTTTCGAGAGGTATTTTTGTATTAATTTTTTTAGATCGTTCCAAAATTTTAATTTTGAACACATATCCAAACCTACTTGATGAGCATAAGTGCTTATAATATTAATAATCTTAGTATAAATAACAATCTTTAAAGTTATAATTTTATCTCCATTTCTATTAATATTTATAATATTATCTTTCAAACTCTTATCTATAATCACACTTATATAATTTCTAGTACGACTCCTATCAGAATATCATAGTTTAAATCCTAACTATCAATCTCCTTAGCATTCTCTGCAACTCCTTTAGTTTTCTGAATGCATAAAATATTTATCTTCCTATAAATCATAATATATATTAATTTTATTAATTTGCTTGTAAGGGAACCTATATTCCAAGTTTCTATTCTAATTTTAATTTCATGGACTAGCTTCTTCACCCACATCCGTCCATGTGTAACAATTACATAGAATGTGAAACAAAATTTTTTTAGATACATATAATAATTTTACAATCAAAAGACTATAATAATTTTACAATCAGAGGGTTTAGTACTAGATCATCTGCACCCAATGAAAACTAATTATGGTGAGTTTTCCTTCATGTCCTGCTTCAGCCACAGATCTTAATTTAATGAAAAGTTTACAATTTATTCTGGATGCGTTCAGTATAACTATTACAATGCATTTCATCTTTGGGAGCAATATACATTCTTCAAATTGATCAGGGTATCCTACCTAATTCTCATTATGACGGACTCAAAATTTTGCAAGTGATTTTTCTATTAGATTTAAATGACATGAAATCACATGATTTCAATTTGCAAAAAATTCAAAAATAATGAATGTATTTGCTGTATCAAGATATTAGATGTAACAATTACATAGAATGTGAAACAAAAAATTTTCCAATACATGTAATAATTTTGCAATCAAAATATAAATTTGTGAAATCTATGACAAAGTATATCCTAACACAGATTTTTTCCTATTAATGTGTTCATTGCTAATCTCTTTGGTTCCATATAAAAATGTTTGCAATTACTTTAGACTGAGTTGGTTTAAAATTTCAGAACATGATATTCAGTCAAAAAAAGTAGAACACTCAGCTAAACATGATTCTGTTAATACGCAAGAGAGACAGACAACGGGCTTGAAGTTGAAAGCAGAAGTGAGATACTTGCGTGGTACAAAGGCAATCCGTGCAGAAACTCCTTATTTCACGAAGTTTTTATTGCCTTCCCATTTCAGTGGATCCCATTTTTTTATGGTAAGATGAAATAGATGTTCCTGATCTTGGCAGACTAGTAGAATTTTTACAAATTTTGAGTCCATTTTTTTAGCCATGTGTTTCAAATTTAATCATTCTCGCACGTCTTTATTTGGCCCATTGCATGCAATTCATGAATAATTTATATTGTATGCTACAGTAGTTTATTTCTTCTTGAAAGTTTTGAATGTCTCTGGCAGATACATTTTAAAGTTTATTTTTTTGTCTTTTTCCAACGCATTATAGGACAGCTCAATACTCGTTTCACCAAAGCTTATTTATGTTCATTTATTGGGCTAATTGAACAAATTTGAATATAATTTAAGAAGCTTGGTATCTAATTGAATATGATTGAACATTATCCTTTTTTTTTTTGTTTATGTTCATTAGAAGTTTGCTAAGAGTTTGATAAAGCTATTAGTTTACCAAACATGAAGAACATACTGATTGCTATGTGTTAATTTTTTTTTCTATGAAATGTGTTAATTTCTCATGTATATTATGTGTTCATTTAGGTTAGATGACGAGGCTTTGGCTTTGAATACGTGGCACTCATATTATATTTGGCTTGATTAAAGTTCAATTTCAGCTCCAGCTCAATAAAAACATTAAATAAATAATTTCAAGTATTTCCTATTTACTTTTACAGCAAATCTCCAAGCAAACTGCTTTTGACAGCAGGAAAACAGCAAAAAACAGAGGGAAATCCAGGAAAATCTGCGAGAAAACTTGAGAAAAGACTTGTATTTTACTAGTAGATGCAAGGAAAATAGCAAAGATACAAGGATCCTCTATTTGAGAGGAGGATCGCACTCTCCCAATCTCTAGAATTCGATCTAGAGCCCTAGCCCCCAAATAAGAACAAGAAAACTCTCACCAAAAATATGACATCCCCTAATCTATCCTTTTCTCTCTACTTAATGCATACAATTCAAAAATAACATAAAAGGACCTAATTGCCCTTGCTTCCACTCCTTTTGGCTCCAAGATTCAATTTGAAAAACAAGTGGACCCCACCCTATTTCCTCCCTGCTGTTTTCGGCTCCCTGTTGTTTCCGCCGGCTTCCTTCTCCCGTAAACTAACTGAGCCGGCCCAATGGATTGGGCCGGCTAGGGGACCGGTCTAACACTCTAGTGGAAGATAAGATTGGAGAGAGTCGTCTTAAGATGGTTTGGTCATATAAAATGGCGGCCTTTCAATGACCCAGTTAGGAGAGTAGATGTATTAGATTTGACTTATTTAAGAAAGGTAGAGGTAAACCTAAAAAGATTTGGTTATAAATATTAGAAATGATATTTCTTTATTAGATTTAAATGAGAATTTGATTCTTAACATGACACAATGGAGAAAAATGATTCATGTAGCCGACCCCACGTAGTAGGATAAAGGCTTGATATTGTTCTTGTAGGCTGCTTCACCTAACTTATGTATCATGTCTAGTGTATTGTTGTATGTTGTGGACGCCACTGCACGTAGTTTTCTCCTTCACCATATAATAGAGTTCTTTTCCGAAATCTGAAGCTACAGATGTTACACCATTCTTGAAGGCCTCTTAACTGCTAAAAAATTAAACACTTTGTCCTAAATTTTATTATGTGTTCTGCATAACTCGTGAGGTTTAAGCAACTAAACCTCAGTGTTCTAGACTTCACTGGATCACATCACATTACAAATGCAATCTTGACAGGAAAGAAAATAATTTATATTTTGCCTATCCATCAATTCCCTCAATTAGTATAGATTACTCGCCTTAAACTCTTAGGTTTTGTTTGGGACAGCTTTTCTTACGACTTCTTAAAGCAGCTTTGTAGTATAAAAATTTAAATTTTTGTATTAAAAAATTACTTTAAGAAGCAGTAAAAAAGCCGTCTAAAGCGAAGCCTTAATTCATATTACTGTTTAAAAGGAACCATTTCTTCATCATCATCCTATTTTTAAAAAAGTGCGCCATCTGTAACTCTAACTATTGCATTTTCATTTTCTTCTGCAAGTCATACTAATAAAACATCTGAAGGCATTTTTATTGCAAATTAGCGATGAGATGCTTGAATGCTCATTCATCTTTGTTTTATAATGTGCAGACATTTCCTTGTGACTTTGCAGTAAAACATCTCCATCTTACACCACAAAAAATATTTCTCCGGTATCATAATAAGATGTGGTCAGCAATGTATAAGCTTAAATCAGCTTCCAACGGACACTCGGTGACAGGAATTTCTGGAGAGGGATGGCGTAAGTTTGTGCAAGATAATGAGTTGTGTAGAGGGGATGGATGCATATTTGTGCTCTCAGAAGCTTCTAAAAGGGTAAAGGTCTTTGATGTTCATATAGTGCGTGTTGATGACTAACTTACATGGCCCAATTTACTTGACCAAATAGCTGATCTCATATGCTTTCAGTTCAGTAGAAACTTTGATCTGTTTGCATTTTCCTGAATATCATATTGTTTTGGACTTATGTTGCAGTATCCTTTTTGAGATTTGTGATGTGCATAGAAGCAAAGTGCATGATCATGCTAAAATGGTGTGATTTTTTCACCTTGATGTAAGAAGACTGCAATATCTTTTCTCAGTTTCTGTGATATAAATGATATTAGTTTACCTTTCATTCCTAAGAACAACAATTTAGCAGCGATTTTCATTATTTGATTGGAAGAAGGAAATATGAACCATCAGAATTTTCTCATGACATGACAGCATTCTTAACATGGTAACAACATAATTATGAAACTAGCTCTTCTTTTTAATTGGATTGATTAGAAATATAACGATTCTCTGATCTTTTTGAACTTCCCAATCAGAACTTTTTCATGGAGAAAATTGAGGAAGCTATCCCTAAATATAATTCAACAAACATAACAGTACAACATAATATTTAGTTAGTATCTGACTAAATGCTCTTATCTTGTGCCATAATCATATTGTCATCGCTGCAATACATTTCGGATTAAATTCTTTTGCTCCTCGACACTCAATCAAATCTTCTTTGCCGTAGGGGAACCTGAGGCTGGATTGAATCCTTCTATCTGGAAATGAAATGCCCTTGCACTATTGCCAATACGTGCCTCTGTACATCAGCTGACATCAAAATAACTGCCTCCACGCAGCCCCTCAAGGCAACATAACTCCTATTATGCCTAAAAAAAAAAAACACTCCTATTATGCCTACCAAGCCTCCAAATAACTGCCACTATTTACCAGGGCTTTCATTCAAAGCTTATCACACTTCTCCTTCCAACCTTCCAGCACCGGATAGGTGTCCCCCCAGATGCGGTGCGGTTTGACGAAGCTCTAAGCATAGTTCACTCGTGTTGATCAATTTCTAATGTTGCCGTCACTCCTTAAGGTTTAAGGTGACAGCAAAAGGGCTGAGGCATAGCAGGATGAACCAAATTAGAGCTATCCTTATTAGAACTTTTTATTTTTTTTGGCATAATACTAAGTGTTGCAGAGATGAGGATGCTTATAGGTGGATGAGTGGTTTTACCCTTAGAGATAGAATACAAAATGAGCATTTACGTGAAAAGTTTGGAGTAGCTCCAATGGAAGATAAGATTAGAGAAAGTAGCCTTAATGGTTTGGTCACATTAAACGGAGGCCTTCTGATGACCCGGTTATGAATGTTGAGATATTAAATTTGACTTATATTAAAAAAGGTTAAGATAAACCTAAAAAGAATTGGTTAGAAAATATTAGAAATGATCTTTCTTTATTAGATTTAAATGAGAATTTGACTTTTAATAGAACACAATGGCGAAAAAGAATTCATGTAACCGACCCCACATAATGGGAGATGATGATGTTGTTGTTCATTATAGAACATGCAGGAAAGCTGATATTAACCAACATAATTAATTCCTTTCATTCTAAACCCAATCTCTCATATACATAGAGAGGCTAGATGGTATAATGTCTAAAATACCCTTACTAACACATTATAAAACAAACAATCATAATAAATAACATGCCAACATGAAAAAAAAAAAAAAAAACCAGAAGAAATATCAAATTAGAGTTCTGTAGACCTACAATCATCCTTTCATCAAACAGACCATTAATGCCATTTCCCATGGTAGAGCTTCTAATTCTTGGAATCACTCTTATAATCCTCCTGCCAAGTAGCTTGCCATTGCTTGTCATAAAAGGTTGTCTCCTCAATGAGCTTCTTCAACTTCTCAATATCTTCATTCTTTCTTATAAGCATTACTCCACCTACAGAAATTAATAGAAGGATTTTGCAGAAGAAGTTGCCCATCTGATCAACAAGGCCGACGCCGGTAAGGCTATCCACAAAGTAGGCCATGAAGAATCCAATCATAGCAGCACGGCCTGTGTAGACTTTGATTATAAATAGTGTTTGATTTTGGTGAATGTGAGAGAGAAATTTGAAAACTGACCATTTAGTAGTTCGGCTTCGGGAAGGTGATATCTTTTGACCCATGCCCACCAGGGCACGATGGAAGTATCAAAAACTACAGGGTCGTCGGTGCTCGAAGCCTCGGGATTGTCTTCAAGCCATTTCCTTCTCCTAGCCTCTGAGGAAAGATAAATGATGGTGATGGAGAAGTTAGATGACCATTAAATTTATACCTGACTGCCTGTGATATTGATAGGAAACGTTTGTAGGAATAAGAGTTTTCCTTACTGAATTTGAATTTCAGCACTTACAAAAAACAGATTGGAGAAGAATTTGTCTTTTTAATTGATAAAAGATGAAAGAAAATGAACAAGATACAATGGATCCTCAAAATTGGAGAGGATGATCCGTCTCTCCCAATCTCTAGCCAGCCCAAGGAGAGCCTAAACAAACCCTGGGAACTCTCCAAAATTCAGCAAATATCAAGATAATCCTAACTCTAGACAATCTCATCTATTTAAAGCATACAAATACAACTCTGATTTACTAAACAGCTCCTCCCTAAATCAAAACCTGTCGCCCCCTCCTCTTCAAGTGGCCCTCCTTGGGCCGGTCTTGCCGGTCTATCAGATATATGTGCAAATATGTTTCTTGAAAAGCATTTTACAACTGCCAAGTTGTATCTTTTTGACTGATATGAATAAAATGTTTTACTTTTAGCATTAGATTGCCATTACACAAATCAAAACATACAAATCAATAATATAATTTTGTCTATTTATGTAGTACATCATTAGCCCAGATTTTGTAATCTGTTTCCACTTCTTGATGCTATATTTTCTACCAATGAAGCCATATTTAGGAACTCATATAAATGATGGGTAATGCTGTTTTGGCTGCATTCGACCAAGCTGAATACGTCACAAGTGGGGATCACTAGCATCTTCATAAAAATACCATGGTGATCTATTCGACCGTTAAATTTTGATTAAAAATGAAAATTTCTATGGAAAGATGAGTGCAATTTCAGTTCCTAAACTTCAAAGCAATGAAAATCTTACATTCACGCACATATGGTGCCTGAGAACCCACATGAATTCTCATAGGCTTTATGCAAGAATAATGTTTTTCAAGCTCACATTGCTCAACAGCCAAAAAGTGTCTGGCATATTTTTTTAAGAGATTTTCTTATTTAGTATGTTATGGTACATGTAAATAAGAAAGTAAACCAACTTTTAAGTATGATGTGGGTGGGTGTCAACATGGAGAAATTATTCCGTGCAGAGTCCGTACGGTAAAGAACTGTCCGGATGTAAGTGTACACAATGTTTGTACACACTGTGTACACTCACATCCAGATGATTTTTTACCATTCAGACTCCGCACAAAATAATTTATTATTCTCGTCAACATGAGTGGAAGAAGTATAGCACTTCATGAAAAATAATGGCTTGCAGTAGGTAATCAACAGATGGGCACCACATGCATGTAATCCTCCTGAACACATTTTTTTTTTTTTTACAGAGAGAACGGTCTGCGAAGAAGATAAGACAAAAAAAAAAAAGCAAAATGATGCATAAAATGCGACGAAATATATCATTTTCCCATACTAAAAAATAAAACTAAATCTTTGAAAGTATTTTCTCCAAAGCATAATTATGAAATCAGTCCATTTTTTTGGTTAGAAACGATTCATTGCAAGGTTTACTTTTATCTCAAGAAAAGTTCTGTTTGGCAACCTAGCCATTTGCCACACAGAAGTATAAAAAATGCAACATCAAGCTATAAGATAATATCTTCTTTCCCCTTTAAATCAAGTTTAAGATAGTTATGAATCATTAGCTGGAATCACCTGATATAGAAAGGCAAATAAACTTCATAAAAAACTGATATAGTTCAGCTTATAGTAAAAATATATAGGATGCCATGCTATGTTACACTGATACGGATACGGCGACACGGATATAAGACGATACAGATACAGGACACGTCAATTCTTAAAAATACAGGATACGGGTACAATACGGACACGGCATTATAATTTATAAATCATACATAAAAATAAAGAAAATAATCAAAGTTTAATATTTGAAATGACAAAAAAAAAAAAATTAAAGCAACATCATTTCTAGCCTTGTAGCTTATAATATCAAAATAAAAGTAAGCATTGAGCCGACGGAAGAGTTAAAACTCATTGCAAAGAATTTTGTGGCATGATTCCACTAATTATGTTGTTGCATGATTTGGTGACATGTTTACTGAATAATACATGAAAGCTAAACTTCTTTTTTTTTCCATTTAAGAAGACATACAAACCATAATAACATGATTTTTTTAATACATGAAACAAAAATCAAAGCATTACAAATGCAAAATAATTTGATACCCTAATATCCTATTTTCTAGTAAACTAACATCAATGTAAATCACTTGTGTATTAGAAAATAAGAGAACCTTATTTGCAACCGCAAAAATAAATATGACGCGTATTTTTTCGGATTTTTTTTCGTCTTTCAACGAACATGCATATCCGATACATGTGTCATTTTGAAATTAAATAGTATTCTAATTGGATACGGCTTTGACGTATCCGACGTGTATCCGTATCCGACATGTATCCAATACAGCACGCCTTCATAAATAGGTGAATCGGTGCAACATAGATGCCATGCAAATACAAGCTTCTGTCCTTGATGAAAGGTCTTCTAAAACATAAAGGTTTTTCATATATTCCCACCATAGGTTTAAATATCTGCATGCAACTCACCACATCATTATTCAGAGAAACCAGTATAAAACCAGTTTGCAATACAAGGACATTCAAAATTGCTCTGCCAACACCACCTAGGGGCGGTTTGCTTGTAAGTATGATTAGATATTACTGAAGCTTTGTAGTTATGCTAATCCTGTAGTCTCGATGGTTACTTTCACTAGGTTTTTCCGTATGTTATATCTTTTTAATCTTTCAAAACTGTTGAGAACCAGTTAAAAGATAGGAGATTGGTGGTATGTAAGTGAGTTTAGACCAGTGAAACTATGCAACCAGGCTATCACATGCAATTTGACATTTATTGACTAAGAACTAATGCAAACTATAAGTATTTTTGAATGGTGTTATGTGGTAGGGAAGATTAAGAGATTAAGGGAAATTTCATGATTAATTAGTATTTGACTAGGCTAATTTGGCATAATTACCAAATTTGTTTGCATGAATAATAAGCAGTTAAGAACTGCTATATGAACCTAGTGTAGGGCATCTAAGAAGAAGTTTATAATCAAACTTAGGCTTCGTTTGTGATGCTTTTTATAGTACTAAAAAACTGTTTTAAGAAACAGTAAAAAAATCGTCCCAAACCAAGTAAGTGATAAAATGAAGAACGCTACGATGAATATGAGATAAACTCCTAAGGTAATGTGAAAACTGATTATAATAAAGAAATAGTAGGAGAAGCACCAATTAAAGATAAAATGATCTAGGTAGTTTAGACAAGTCATCATGTCGAATGGTACAAAATTCATCAATAAAATGAATATATAAAATTATTAGGGAGGGATTATGAGCGAGAAATATTAAATCGAAGGTAAGACAATTAAAAGTTGCAAAAAAAGACTTTGGTCAAATAAAAAATATCACATGCAACACTCAAAATGAATGAAAAAGGACTCCTAGACAACAGTAAAATCCATTAATCAGCTAAAGCTAGCTGCAACCAAATAGCTCATAAACAGATCTATCACACTTCAAAAACCTGAGAAACAGTGAAAGTTAAACAACCAAATTCATCAAACTGAAGCCTAGACAGAAGCAAAAAATACAATTATAGTTCTAAACCGGTGACCTAGCGAGAAATCAAAGCAACAAAGCGTGAGATGAAAAGAACAATAAAAGCTAATGCAACCCTAATGGAAAATAGCTTACCTGCATCGATGACCGCATCCCAATCAGTCTCCCCACCCTTACTAAACTGCGTCAAATCCCATGTCCCCCCAACCCATCTCGGATCCTTGAAAGCCAAAACCTCCGCATTCTCAACCGCAACCCCATTCGAACTCAGAGACTCCTCAGTATCCTTCACCTCCTCAATCTTAGCAGGAGAATTCATCGATTCCACCTTCTCCTCTACCACGGCCGAGGCCGCCGCCCCTCCCGTCCCATTATCCGCTGACCTCGCCATGAAGAGAGAAGGAAGCTTCTTCGGGAAGAAGGAAAGCTGTAGGGTTTGAGATCGGTGGTTGGGTTTGGAGATTAAGGTGGAGAAGATTGTGGGAAGAGAGGGAGAGAGTGATGAAGCCATTTGTGTTGAAGTTGGTTCTTTTACCTGCAAAACAGAGAGACTATATAGAGAAGAGAAAAGGGAACAAGAGAAAGTCACATGCTTTTTGCTTCCTCGATAAGGGTTTTAGAGAGAATTGGACGCTTGGAGGAAGAAAGGAGAGCGAGACCGGAGTTGGGGATGGGAGCTCTTTCAATTGAAGATGAGAAGTATGTTATCGTCACTGAATCTGCTTGTCGTGATGTGCGTGGGATACTTATGGGTTGGGCTTAAGCCCATGGGCTATTTAGAAGCAGTGTGAGTTTGGGCTTTGAAGATAAGCACTATCCATTTTTTTGGATTTCATTTCATGTTAGCGATAAATCATCGTAATTTATTTATTCTTGTAAAAATGTTACCTTAATTCATTATTCTTCTAAAAAATATTTTTTTAGGGTGGTTCGACGAAAAATGGGCCTAAAGAACTCCAAAAGCATTAATTAGAAATATTGATGCTTGGTTTGTACGTCCTCACAAAATTAGCTTGATCGGTCACGAATCTCGAGGCAAAAGCTAGTTGGAAACTTCAAAAATTAATTTTGGAAGCACCTGAACTCCGATTTCAGCCAGCTTACAGTCAAACTGAGCGTCTCGGAAATACGAACCAAACGACACCAAGATCAACCCAATCCGAGCCCAAATGAGTCCAAATCAAGGGCTCAAAGCACTGTCGGAAGATTCAAACCACAATTTGAGTTACCAAACGGTCTCTGATTTTGGCGAGCTTATACTCGAATCGAACTGCTCGATGAGACGAGTCCAACGATCCCAAGATCACAGAATTCCGACATCACTAAGACCTTCAAATTTCCAACAAACGGTGCACGATCGTAGGATTCAATATTGGCCGTCCATTCGACCACTCCCTATTCGCCCCTGATCTCACGCCTATTTACGGGCTATGCCACTCCATAAAAACTATAAATAGAGCCCTCATTCTTCACAATAGGGGGGCCAAGCAAGAAGAGAAGGAAGAAGCTTCTCCTCGACCA